CAATCTTAGAGGACAAGAAAGTTTGCTCACATGAGATACTGAGATGAATTTCAATCAAATTTCATTGGCATTAAAAGTTTTTATTTGGAATTTGATCCACAATCTATACAAGTTATTTACATGGCATGAAAATGGAAAACAGCACAAAATACAATTGAGGTATAAGCTAAGAGCACAGTATGTCATGTTTCAATAAATATAATTCAAAATTTGTAAACTAAGTGACCAGATAGATGAGTCTTATTTTTTAGTAAAACCATATAAAATATTTATTTCACGTGAGGTAGAGGACAGTTTTGTGTGTCATGTAATGCAACCAACCACAGCAATTTTAACCATAAAACTGTACATCATTGGCAAAACTTTAAACTGTATTATGGTCAATGTAGTCAACAATTTGTTTTAACAGTTGCAGAACAGATATTTCATTTACTGCCTTCACAGATTAGAAATTCAGAAATAATTTAAGACTACTATATTGGCTTAAAATTATCAGGATAAACAAATACTTCTAACAGGATGGTTACAAGCAAGTATATTTTATTTCTCACAAACTCTAATTCTCCAAAAGATGCCCTACATTTAGCAAATGTTTTAGTAGGACGTTTTTACTAGAACTACGTTAAGTATGCTGTGCTTTCTTTATTTTCAAGTGAGGTATCTATATTGAAGAAAAAATCTTATAAACTTCTTTTATATTAAACTAATACACTTTTGTTTTCTGGGCTTAATTTTTAAATTTGTTTTTATATTTTATCACTTTTTAATTTAAAAACTGTAGCACTACATAGGACATTTAATTCTATTACTAAATAAGCTCCAAATAACATTATGTATTTAGAAACCATTTAAATGAAAAGACTTTATCAAAAAGAAAAAAAAAAAAGCCTGTCCTTTTAAACAAGATGCAATATAAAATACCCATATGTTTTTCTTCCAATAATGGAAATGTGTAAGTATCCTAGGCTAGAAAAAAATTTTAAGCTCTGTTTAAATATTCAATTCCACAATGTATAATACAGCAGTTATATGTCCCTTATTGCTGACAGCTTCAATAAAAACTATTAACAAGTAGTTCCAAGCACAGAAATAGATGTACAGTATGAGCACAATTTTTCATTATATTAATTTTTGATGTCTTATCATGGATTAAATGCATAAAGGGCAAATGAAAATGACGATTCTTCCCTAAGTAATCAAAACGTAAGTCTTACCATTGAGAAGAAATTTTTGGAAGCTGATCAAAACCCATCAGCAATAGCTTTGCAATTAATTCTAGGGAAATACCTTGACACATTTTACATTACTAGAGTTTTCTTATCATTTTACTTACTTTCAAACAGAAGCCACAAATGTGCAAATAAACTAGCTGCTCTGTCATGACTTCTAAAAGATACGGAAAACCTACAAATATCATAGCATTAGGTCTGTTTCACCTAGTTTAGTAACTGCTTTATAATTCAACATGTACAGATGACTTTATATCTTAACTGGTAATATATTAAATATGTTATAAAATTAGTTCAAGAAGCATAAAACACCCTAACTCCCATGAACACAGAAATTCAAGCAGAAGTATATGCTTTATAAAAACTAAAGCACAAGCCAAAATTAAATTGTTGGTCAAATCTTTTCATTGTGTTACAAGTAGCATTTGAAAATTTTAGGGTAGTTTAAGAGCTTCCTCGATGACAACAGGAGGTTTTACACTTACCAACTTTACAAATTCATTTTTCTCATAATATTTAAACGATAGAAACAATTATCATCCATCACCCAAGCTAGCTAATATTCTATCCTCCCTCCTAAAGATGCTTTAGCAAAACTTTTTATAGGCTGTTCCTTTAATGCAGCTTTTTAGAGTAAACATTTTTATATTTTCCCTTAAAAGTACAATATTACGAAGTCCGAGGGAAAATCTTCTTGCCTAGTGAATTTGGCACGCAAAAACTAACACCAAATCAAACTTTAAGCTAGCAACCAACATATAAAATGAGCATGCAAAGAACAGAAGAATAAGTTTTATATGGATATTTTAGTAGAGGCCACTTTTAAGGTATTACAAAATCTCTATATTGTTTTCAAGCTATATGGTGCAGTTTAAGGTTACTTTTAACAATAATAGGTATAATATTTACAATTGACTAAAAAAGCTATGTTCAAGGAAGTTAGAAACCTATGGCACATCAAAGTATCTTTTGGAAAACGAAGACTATACAATGTGGCAAATTTTCATTATGTAAAGGACTAGAAAAAATATTTCTTCACTCAATACTGAATTATGAGTTTATAGTAATTTAATGGTGTTTAAGCACCACGTAGAATTTTAAAGTAACATATTTCAAAGATTAAGCAATTTATATTAGAAGTTTTGGGTTGAAACTTAAGTTCATCCCTTACTAAGTAACATAAGCTGAAAGGTTCTGAGTAAATTAGAAAAATAAATGAAATTATAGGAGCTTGAGTTTGTCTCCCAAAAAGCTAAGCTGTGACACAACTAATTCACAACTAAAACTAGTCTGTGATTTTTCTTTCTCTAGATCTAAATAAATGATATTGGGAGGATAAGTCATTTTAAATATTTCTTTCTGCATGTCATTTTAATATTTGTTCCTCCTCGAGGAGATTCCAAGAATCAACAAATTAAACCACAGAGTTAACATAATAAAATTTAACTATATTGAAAAGTTAAATGGAACTTGTAACTTTCCAATGGAAAACAAAAAATATACATTTAGGTCATACTCAATTTAGTAAAGACTACATTTGGTGAAGTACAAAAATTCGTTTTGGGTATGTGAGTGCCATTAAGTAAAATATGAAAATAACTAGTTAAATGATAACTAATGATTTTTTAAAGTTCTACACCATTATAGTATCGACCTTTTATGCTGGAAATAGTACATAACATTAACCCTAGCTAATTTATTTTAAAAATAAATTTAGCTAATTTTATATAGTACCTTATATTAATAAAAGAACATGAAAAACAAAAAATTCATGGGATAAGAATGTCGATTAATGGTATTAATAGTTTCAGGAAATGTCCTTTAAAAATGCATACTAAGAATTTTACCTAATATCTTTTAAGCCGAGAATTAACTAATATGAAATTTGCCATTAGAAAACGACAGACTTTTCTGTGCAAAAAACAAAGTGCAGAAGATGTTGCCCCTCCCTAAACTATGGAATTCTTTTCACTTCTAAAAATTATCTAAAAAGCTTTTAGTACCAGATAACTAAATTGTCCTATATTCACCTATCGCATACTATCAGTTGACTGTAAATTCCTGATTTTGATATTAAGTAGCAATTGAAAATGGTCCATTCGTGCAAATTTTGGTAAGACTTAACATTTAAACATACAAAAATCCAAAATAAACTCCAAGGTGTTTAATATTTTACAACTTAAAGGAAAACAAATCTATTATATAAATTTCAGCAAGATCCATAACTACATATAAAAACTGTACAGGAGAATTACAGATTGTATAGAAACTGATGTCCATCAATGCTATCAGTTTTTCTCAAGAACATTAATATTTTCACACCACTATTAACAACATAAAGTTCAGAAATTATTACATTTTACTTTTCTGAAGTTGCTGTATAAAAAAACTTCTAAATATAGCCACATTTAAACTGAAAAACAAATCACAACTGCTTCTTGTGTTTAGCAGCAGTACGTAACAATGCATGTTATCCTTCCCCACTGTGCCCATGGGGTATGCTATAACCTCAATGAAATTCCTCTCAGGAGACATCAAAAAGAGAACTGGTGGAAATTCATTCCACGATCTGAACAATAAAAGTAAATTTTGCATGTAATAATGAGTATACTACATCAACTTACAAAGGAGTCGTGTTAATGAGAAAAATGGAGATTCAACTCCTTGAGTAGCTCTATATTACATATGTGAAATATGAAGCAAACACTGTATCTAAAATTGAGTCTGAAATATGGGTAACAAAACTGACCACAGCTATTTTCCATTGCACACTGCAGCTTTTAAAAAGTATACAATTGTTAAGTTTGCATTAGAAATATAGGCAGATTATCTACTGGTTGAAACCATATAGTATTGTTATTAAGCTGATTTAAAAAAAAAAAGTACAAAGAAACATACATTTTCATTCATTTCGAAAATGTAAAAATTTATGTACTAATATATAATCTCTTCACTTTCTCTAATCTACAAATGGATAGAATGCCTAGTTATCTTCATGCAGGTAAGTTGTTCAGAATTCAATTACCAAAGCAAGCAACAAACAAAAAAAACCCTGTAAATAATACACAGATGAGTCTCTTTAACAGTTTCTATTCTTTAGCAGTCTTCGATGATTTCAAAATTTGCAGCTTTAGCTCCTTTATCATCATCTCTAACTTCTGTCTTGCTTCCCGTTCCTGTCTGAGTTCATCTTGGAGTTCTTGCCTATCAGCCTCGGCATGGTCCAATCTCTGTCTCAGTTCTGCCAACTGTGTGATTTAAAAGGCTGTGTCAGTTTTCAGTTTCGTTTCTTCATTTAATCTTCCTATCATGGCAAAAACTTACTTTCAAATTAATCTTTACAAAATGAACTATTTCACATATACTAAATCCCTTGAATATCTAATACTATTAATTTGACATGTGACAGGACATTAAATTGAGGGAAAAGCAGAGGATCAGGAGGAATGAACACCTATAGATGGCACTTTCATTATGCCCTAGACAGTTTGCTAATGTTAATCTTCCTTAAATCGTAAGCTATTATTAACAAAGGGAGTTGCTTATTTATTTTTGCTCCATCGCTTCTGAACATAATGAGCAACAGTTCACATTTCTTAAAATTATAGATTTGAAAGCCCACATATTACATTAAAATAATATCAGATTTGATATTCGGAGAGCTAGAGATTAGCAATTTAGGTAACTAAATTACAGAAATCCAATAAAAGTTTAAACTGATAAAGCAATAAAGGTCAAAAAATCATCTTGGGCCAGGCACGGTGGCTCACGCCTGTAATCCTAGCTCTCTGGGAGGCTGAGGTGGGCAGATTGTTTGAGCTCAGGAGTTCAAAACCAGTCTGAGCAAGAGCGAGACCCCGTTTCTACTAAAAATAGAAAGAAATTAATTGGACAACTAAAAATATACAGAAAAAATTAGCCAGGCATGGTGGCGCATGCCTGTAGTCCCAGCTACTCGGGAGGCTGAGGCAGGAGGATCGCTTGAGCCCAGGAGTTTGAGGTTGCTGTGAGCGAGGATGACGCCACGGCACTCTAGCCTGGGCAACACAGTGAGACTCTGTCTCAAAAAAAAAAAAAAAAAAATTATCTTGGACAAAGAAACATAAAGTTGTGTTTAAAAGAATTATCTGTTTTGAAATCTAGCCTAGTACAATGAGTTTGACAGAAAGTAAGTCCTTTAGAGAAGTAACAGCTTCCATTTCCAGTTGAAAGGGCACCACCTGAGTAATTCTTACCTGTGCTGCATATTCAGCCTCTTTGTCTTTTTCTAAATTTGAGTCACAGGTACATTTTTGCTTCATTACTTGCTCCAACTTTTTCTCTAAATCCTTCTGTTCAACATAAAATTCTTCCATTCTTTGAGCATGTTCATTCTGCAAAGATTCAAGCTCTTTCTGCAAATTCTGTTGTTCTTCAGTAAGTTCCTTTACTGCTTTTGAACTATTTAACATTTCCACTTCCTGTAATGTAAAGAATCACAATACAATTTTTACTTTATTTCCATCATGTTAGAAATTTCAATTCAGGAAAAAATAGGACAGAAAATATTTAAAATTCAACTATCTTATCAGTTCTATAGGGAAGTAATTATCTTGAAAAACTATTTTCTCTAAAAATTTAAAATTGCTTATCAGTGTAAAAGTCTGAATAATCTTAAGTACATTTGTAGCATTTCGACTTTTCTTACTAAAAATATGCAAAAGTATCTTTTTGTAATGGACTATCATTCAGATAATGATTTTACCATCTGAAGTTGTTGCTTCTTTTGCAAAATTGAGTTGAGTTTTTCTTGTTGTTTTACATAAGTTCTCATTACTTCTTCCATGATTTTTCCCTTATCATCCTCACAAATGACATCTTTGACAAGAAGTGGAGATGAAGCCGCAGCATCTTGAGCAAGTCCCACTTTGACTGGGTCTCTAACTAAGTTGCAAGCAGTAGACTCAGACTTTTTTTTATTTGTAGAATTATTTGAAATTGATGAATCTGTAAGAGGAAAAATAAATCAAGTAACAAAGTAAGAATATCACTCTGTTAAAAAGTCACTAGATCAATTTATAAATGAAATTAAGAAAACAATTCCATTTACAAATTAAATCAAAAAATAAAATACTTAGAAATAAATTTAGCAAAAGTAGTGTAAAACATGTATAATGACAACTGCAAAACATTGTTAAGAGAAATTAAAGATCGGAACACATAGAAAGACATCCTAAGTTCATGGACTAGTAGATTTAATATTGTGAAGATAATAAAACTCCTCAAATTGATCTACTTATTCAGTGCCAATCCCTATCAAAATCTCAGCTGGTTTTTTTGCAGAAACTGACAAGCTGATTCTAAAATTCTTATGAAAATGTAAAGAATCCAAAATAGCCAAAACAATCTTGAAAAGGAATAACAAAGTTGGAGGACTCACAATTCCCAATTTCAAAGCTTACTACAAAGCTACAGAAATCAAGACTGTGTGGTACTGGCTTAAGGATAGACATATAGATCAGTAAACAGAATTCGGAGTCCAGAAATAAATAAGCCCATACTTTTACAAGCAATTGTTTTTTTTAACATAGGTGACAAAGCAATTCAATCAGAAAAGAACAGTCTTTTCAACAAATGGACAACTGTATCCATATACAAAAGAATAAGATTGGACCTCACACCATATATAAAAATTAACTCAAAATGGATCAAAGACCTAAACGTAAGATTGAAACCCCTAAATGTAAATCTTTCTGACCTTGGATTGGTTTGTTAGATATGACACTTAAAATAAGCAACCAAAGGAAAGATAGATAAATTGGACTACATAAAAATTTAAAACTTTTGTGCTCCAAGAAACACTAACAACATGAAAAGAAAACTGACAGACTGGCAAATCATATCTTACAAGGATCTAGCATCCAGAATATATAAAGAACTCTTAACAGCTCAACAGTAAAAAGACAAATTACCCAATTTAAAAATAGGCAAAAGTAGCCAGCTGTGGTGGCGTGTGCCTGTACTCCCAGCTACTCAGGAGGCTGAGGCAGGAGGATTACTTGAGCCTAGGAGTTTGAGGCTGCACTGAGCTATGATCATGCCACTGCACTCCAGCCTAGATTAAGAGGGTGAGACCCTGTCTCAAAAAAAAAAAGCAAAGAAATTTCCCCAAAAATAAGCAATCTCCAAGAACATGAAAAGATACTCAACATCATTATTCACTGGGGAATTGCAAATCAAAACCAAAACCACAATGAGACACCACTTTACAAACACTAGGATGGCTATATTCAAACGATAGACAACAAGTGTTGACAAAGATGTGTAGAAATTGAAACCTTCATAAGCTGCTAGTGGGAATGTAAAATGGTACAGGCTCCTACGTCCACACTAAAACTTGTACAACACCAAGTGTTCACAGCAACATTATTCACAATAACCAAAAAGTGGACACAAGGCAATGTCCATCGACTGATTAAAAAAAACAAAAAGTGTTATATCCACATAGGAATATTACTAAGCCATAAAAAGTACTGATACATGCAACAACATGGACTGTGAAAACATTACGCTTAGTGAAAGAAGCCACACACAGAAAGCCACATATTGTATGATTCTTCTTATATAAAATCTCCAGAATAAGCAAATCCATACAGATAGAAAAAAGATTAGTGGTTGTCAGAGGCTATAGGAAAAGGGAATATGGGGGTAACTGCTAATGGATTACAGGGTTACTTTTTGGAGTGATGAAATTGTTCTAGAATTAAATTAGTGTTATGGTTGCACAACTTTGTGAATATACTAAAAACCACTGAACTTTACACTTTAAAAGGGTAAATTTTATGGTATGTAAATTATATCTCAATAATTTTTAAAAAGTCACTAGAGTCATTCGCACCAACATGGATGAAACTGGAAGACATTATGTTAAGTGAAATAAGCCAGAAACAGAAAGTTAAACACCACATGTTCACACTCATATGTGGAAGCTAAAAAAAGTTGATTTCATATAAGTAAAAAATAGAGCAGAGGATACCAGAGATAGGGCAGGGTGGGGGGAAGGAGGAGATACGGAGGGACTTGTTAAAGGATACAAAATTATAGCTAAATAGGAGGAGTAAGTTTTAGTGTTTCATACTATAGGATGACTATAGTTAATAATATATAATTTCAAAGTGCTAGAAGGAAGATATTGAACATTCTCAACACTAAGAAATGATAAATGTTTGAGGTGATGAATATACTAATTACCCTGATCTGATCACTATACATTATGTGTAT